CTCTTATAGGACATTGTTACATAGCTCCTAATTAAGAATATATATGGAAGCAAGAGTAAAGTCTTCTTCACTCTTGTCAATACCTTTTTAGTTCTTAGTCTTGTCTCAAGACTTTCTAAGTTTTCTCGTTTTTGGCAATAGCCATTTTAGGTTAATACTATATCATCTTTTTGTGATTTTTTAGTCTTTTTGAATGGCACAAGAATGTATTGATATTTTAATTCTTTGAGATTCATATCCTTGACAACTAATGGAAAATATGAGGTTCTTTTGTTAATTAAAGAGTGAGGCTTGAGGATAAACTTGATAAGTTGTTTTTAAATATTAATTTTAAATAATTCAAGTGTATAATGGTTTTATAAAAGCTTCGTAAATTTAGGATTTTTTTAAATAACTATGTTTGATATTGAATAAAAAAAGAGATTAAATTATAATAAATTATATAAATTTTTTATCAAATCTATAAGTATAATTTTGTAAATATATAAATGTAATAGTACTAAGTTTTTATTATAAAATTATATTTAATTATATAATCAAATCAAAATTAATTGAGATTCAAGTGAATTAGGATTTCATAAATTAAACTTTGAAGGTTAATGAGGGTTTCTTCAATCTTGAATAATTTTCTAAGTAGATTGAAATTTTTAAAAAATATATTAATATTTGGCTTAATTATTAAAATTCTTGAAAAAAATTTAAATAAATTAAAGATATGTAAGGAAGTTACTAATTTTAGAAGATTTATATTGAAATTAAATAAAAATGATATCCAAGCTCCAATTGGATTTTGAGATATTTCTACTTAATTTATAAGTTCAATCTTCTTTAAATTTTGTATTTTTTTTTCAACCAAAAAATTGATATATAAGAAAAATTTGAATCAATATCAATAGTTAAAATAATAATTATTAAGATTTAAAATTTATTATAGAATTTTTGTAAGATTAGATTAAGATTTATTAAGATTTATTTTAGATTTGATAAGACTTTTTAGGATTTTGATAGAATTCTATCAAGATTTAATTAAGTCTTAATAATAATTCAATTAAGGTTCTATTAAGAATTTATTAAGATATTATTATAATTTAATTATAATTTAATTAATATTTGATTAAGAAATTTTTAGGATTTTTTGTGATTTCTATAGGATTTAATTTTGATTTTCTTAAGGTTTATTTGAAGTTAAATAGAATATAATAAAAAAAATCAATTATTCAAGATTGCCAAGAAGTGTTTTTAAACACCTTATGCATTGTATTTTTAGATTATAAGTCCAATTGTAAAGTAAAGATCTATCAAATCTTTCTAAAGTCAATTATCTACTGCATTTTTAAGATAATTTTTACATAATACAACAATATTTTTGATTATGAGATAAGACACTTATCTTTATTTTTCTTTTGATGTTAAGTGAGTTGGAAAAAAAAAAGAAGATTTTTAATATAGTCTATCAAATCATTGTAAAATAAAATTGTATAAAAAAAGTTTATTTAAGTAAAAAAAAATTATTAAAATAAAAAAAATTCTATCTATATAGAATATATTAAATTACTAACTTTGTTGATTTTAGATCAAGAAGTCATTTCATCATCTTAATTGGACTTCAATTCTTAAGATTTAAATATTTTATTGTTATTGCTTGTTAAATATTTTATTTGAAGGTCTTAGTTTAAATTTTTTTTATTATAGTATGCAAGAACAACTAGCTTAAATGAGTGGAAGAAGGAAAAAAGTGGAAGAAAGGAGGGAAGAGAGAAAATTTTGTTTGAATGCTTGGAAAGAATCACCTTCCTAAATAAACTTCATAGAAAAAACTAACTTCCAACAAAGAATATTATTAAGATATTAGATCCTTATGAAGCCATGCTTATCAAGTCCAACTTCATTTGCATATTAGATCTTTGTGAAGCCAAGCTTATCAAGTCCAATCTCATTTGCATATTAGAATTTGTATGGTAAAATATGAATTGATATACTTTTGTATCATTGAAGGTATTAATTTTTGATGTAGTTTAAATATTCATCTATTTATAATAATTTAAATCCAAATTTTTAAAGGTAGAAAACATTAAAGTAATAGGTAGATAGTACAATGACTTGTTTTGAGGAGCGACTACCATAGAAATTACTTTATCAAATAAAGCCATCATAAAGATATGATGCAAAATTTTTGAAGCCTTTATTCTTGCAAGATCTCCTTGATCATCACTTCATGGAATTTCAATAAGTACCAAAGACTTTATTAGAATTCCTTAACATTATGTCTACTAATTGTCAATTTGAAGGTACTTCAATTGCTTATATAATAGTCTTGAAGGGCCAATGAGTCATTATATGCATTCTAAATAGATTAATAAAAAATAGAATATTTTTTGGAAAACTACTATTATCATGTGATAAGATAAGTTATAAATTATTAGTTTTTTAGTCTTTATTTTTTATTGGTAGTATTAACTTTTAAATTCTTATGATTTTGTTGTTAATATTTGGTTTTCTTAATAATTGACTTGTATTTTGTTAAAAATCTTGTATTTTTGAAATTTCAAGTGATTTATAATTCACTAATTTGTTGTTCATAGAAATTAGCACATGAATAGAGACTGTGGTATATATATTGTTGTAAGCAACTTCTTTACAAGCTACACTAGAAACTATGAAGAATTACATGAAGAGCCTTTGATTGCTTATTAGTTTGTGACTATGGATGCTTAATATCAATCTCATTAATAGTATGCAATTTTGAAGTGTCATAACTAATCTATCTTGTAAATGTTTATATTGTCTAGTAAAGCATTATCATTGTTATTTCTTTGCAATTGTTTTGATCCTTTATTACCTCTATTTTCTTATGGCAAATTTTAGCCTTGGCTAAGGAAAAATATTTTATATTGTAGTCAATACCAAGTAAAAAAAAAAAAAAAAAAAAAAAAAAAAAACTATATTTTTAGATTTAATTAGTTGATAAATATAGATTTATTGTTCTTTTTTATCTGATTTTTTAAATAGATTTTAATTCCTAACATGCTCTAAAATCCAATGTGATATAAAATTCGGACTCCAACAACTTATCATTATTGCAGTTATGATTTAAAATGCTTCTAAGCCTAACAACAATCTATTAAGCAACCAAAAGAAATTCTTTGAATGTATTGGTTGCTACAATTTATGTTAAAATCTTAAATAAGTCTAAATAAGAAGTGCCTTCAAGATTTATGGATCAAAGTTTGGATTTTAAGATGATAGCATGTAAAAGCTAAGATTAGAAATATATGGAAATCAAAATTTTAAAAACCAACTAGTCTCTTTGTCTAACATAGTTTTAAAATAGAGATATTTTAAATGAAGATTCTTTTTAAAAGACATAGGACTGTCAACTACTTATTCCAAGCCTTCTTCCCAAGCTTAGAGACTCAAGTCTTCTAATTTACTATCTTCAATGCAAGCCATAATAGTATTCTAACATAGTTTGTCTATTTTCTTCAATACATGATTCTAATCCACTTCTATTTCCAAAGGTTCAATGCAAATTTGTACATAACTTCTGAAAAAATCCAATTATTAATCAGTTAATAATAAATTATTAGGTTTCTTTAGAAAGAATGGATTTAATGAAAGTATGGTGAATTAGGTACAGATGGTTATTTTGTCAATGAAGGTCAAAAGAACAAATCATAGTTTGCTCCTCCATAAAATCTATAGGCAAATTGATACTTACATCTAAAGTAGCAATTCTTTCCTCTCTTTCATCCTTACACTATCATTGTTTCTCCAAACATTCTTTGCATAAGTTATATTTTGTCATAATATTATTAAACAATCCAAAATTCTCAAATAAAAATAAGAATAAAGAAAATAATATCTATTTTTTACTCCAATAGAGATAAATATGTCACATACTAAGTAGAAATATTAGACACTACATCCTAAACCTTTGGTTGAAATATGATCCAATTTAAGCCATGCCAAAAATAAAATGCTATCTTTATGGCACTTTGAATCCCAAGTTTTGCCCCACATCCTTGATAGCCCTTCTTGAGCCTTATCATCATACTTTTTAACCAAAATTTAACATGGATTTTTTAAGTTTTGCAAATATCATTTTTTCACATGTTTAATTTCAATATTAAAAAACAATGCCACATTAAAAAAAAATGTTATTTATCTCATATTTTCTTCTAATAATTTAACTGAATTATATTAGTATTAAGTGAGCCAAAAGAAGTTCACTTTCAACCAATAACAAGCTTTGACAATTATAACCTATCAGCCTCTCCTATAAAGATCCCTTAAAACATCAAACTTGGAAATAATATTGTTGCTACAGAACACCCTCTCCTAACAAGCCAGAGTGATCAAACTTGGAAATAGCATTGTTGGTGCAAAACAAACTCTAATTACATTTTCATTACAAATGTAAGATGTAACAATTTTCATAGCATAAGATGTGCAAACGTTCACAACAAGAACGTAGATTACAAATTGGAGGAAATGATATCAGGAAGTGTAGAAAACCATTTTGGCGACTAACATGCATGAAATAAATTGGTTGCATTGAAACAGTTGGTAGAAACCCACGGTTGCAACTTCCAAATTTTGCCAATGCAAATGCCCTCACAAAGAGCAGATGCCCAGGCATGCCTCCAAACGTCACCTAAAGCAAGGATATCTCGTAGGTAGAGGAATAGATCCTTGTTGGCGGGGTTCACAGGGCTCCTGCACCCTTCTCGCCAGGGCTGTAGAAGACAACCAGTGCGGAGGCAAATGTTGCGGGAGCTCTACGGCAAATGAAGGCCTTGTCGGCGGAAGAATCCAAGGCGACGTATTTTTAGTACTCACAAGGAAATGCAGTTACCTTCTCATGGTAAAAAAAATTAGGACTCGCCATTTCACTTCCAATCTACAAATGTTACCTAAGAGAATATAGCATACGAACAAACCACGACGCAACCACATCTACAAGATTTTGTTTACAAGCTCCATCAATACCAAGAAAAAAGTAACCGTAATACTATCCAGCGTTGCCAAGCTTGTCAGCCTCATTTCAGTCAATTCACCTCCAACGAGAAATTCACTGCTCATTGCAGGTCATGGTGAAACACACCCAATTATACATCTTTCCATTAAATTAGCTCACCTTCTTCCCACAGACATGCTCATATCTAATCTACGAGGTACGATCCACGTCGCTCCAATCTCAATTAGCATATCTCCGTCCCCTCCTAGCTCTAAATTCTGAGAATCTTGTACAATAAGGTGCCATGATGCGTTCATCACCTGATAATGCATCCACATCCTAATCATCAATTGCCACCCACCACTTTCATCACCCAAATAATTACAACCAGTTAAGACGCTGAAATTACACTCTTAAAACAAACCGACTACAAAACCAAACAATTACCTCAGCAACCAACGAACATTCACCTTAACACAACAAACTGAAACTAAAAAGACTAGTACTGGCTAGCTCGAGGATCACACCTCGACCACACACGTATGAAACTCAACACTACAAACCAAGAAATCCGTACACGTGTAAGTGCTGATAGCAAAAAATGCTTACCCTCGTAATCATCACATTCAACGAATAAAATCTGCACTGCGACGCATGCAAGAAAAACTTTCTCCACCGACTCACTGCTGTACAACACTCGTCGGAGCCTGACCACCCATCCCTGCTATTGGACTGCTCCCCACCACTCCACCCCCTCCCGCACCATGGCTCCCGCTCCCACCTCCCTGCTGTAACGAACCCTCATTCGTTCCACCCCTCCCGTCTCCTCCACTCTCTACATTCCCGCTGCTGCTGTTCTTGCTCTGCCCGTTCGACATACTCCCGCCACTCCCACCCCCCCCGCTCATCGAGCTCGACATCATCCCGCTCGTCCGCGACTGCCCAACATCCCCCAAATTGCTCGCCTGTCCCATCCCCCCTTTACTCCCACTTCCCCCACCCCCCTGCCCTCGCTGCGACGAACCCTGCGCCCCGGGGCTGCCTCCCATCGTCGACGCGCCCCTCCCTGCCATCGCACCTTGCGCCACCCGCATCTCATTCACCGCCTTTTGCCCCCCATCTGCCATGTTCCAACCCCCAACGCCCCCGTTAGCCACCCCAAACTCCCCTCTCCCCTCGTACTCCACCGCACCAACTCCACCACCACTCCCAACACCCGTTCCTACCCTCACCCCCACCCC